TTCCCTTATAGAAAAGGAAAGAAAATACACAAATCTAGGCAAAAAGAAACATCTGTACACACTCCGCATCTTCAGAGTCCTTGCTATTCTTGAACGTTATTTGAGTTTTGAGCCCAGGTCCCCATTTATGGACCCCACTCCTCTTTCTTCTTCCTCATGGAGTCTCCTCAGATTCTTATAACAAATAACCCTCAGCCTGAGCAGATCAAGCAGACAAAAGGTTCCCGTCACTCTCTGCCTCATCCTTTGTGTTCCCTAAATCTTCCAGAGTCTGGTTCCTTGCAGAAGTGGGGGGGGGCAGTAGTTTTGTTTTTAAAGCTTATTTCTTCTTTTCTGTGGGGTATTTTGCTCTGCTCCAACAACTCCTAGGTAGATCTGATTTCCCCCTAGGCAGCATCATTCCATTGTTCAAACCTGCTGTCATTTGAATGGACAGCCATTCAGTTTAACGACTATTGATTGTTCTTGGTCTGGGAGGTATGTAACTGCAGTCCTGGCAGCAACTGGCTGATTTGTTATACAACATTGACACATTCAGTGATACAACACTGGCATAAAATCAACCAGAATTAATCAGTTTTGCATAGTCATATTTCCCAAAATGTCATAGCAGGCTTGCCAAAAAACTTAATTTCCTCTATCAGAGGCTATGATGCAAATATGGACTGTGACAAAGAGAAAGGTCAACCATTTGAATATTTTGTTTATGGGCTGCCTGCTCTGAGGATGAAATTGATTGCCTTATAGGAGATCATAAGGCAATGATAACATTGCTTTGTATATCTATAATACCCTCCATCTAAGGATATTTTACCAGCACTAATGTATTAAACCTCTATTGTGAAGCAGAATGGGGCCTAGATGTAGAGGATTAGAATTCAGGGAAGCAGGTCCAGATGCAGGTAGTGTGGGGTTTGTCAGGGGGGCCTTATGTGTTGTCTCATGCTTATTGTTTTGTGTCGTTTGTCTCAATGCTAGCATTATTGTGTATTGTTTTGGGAAAAGAGGGGATACTGTAGTAAGCAGGAAAATCAATGACTCTCTAATCAGACCTCTACCTCTCTACCTACCTTCTGCAAAATTGTTAATTATATGCCCATCTCTATGGTGGTCCACCTAAAGACCAAGGATCAGGCGATGGCATGGTTGTTGTGGCAAACTTGCTGAGCTTAGCAAGCTGCTAAAATTGATTCTGAAACTATGTAAGTAAAGCAGAAGTTGGAGCGGGTAGATACAAAAAGAAACTTGTCTAGCAAGTTAAGAGGTGCAGGCAAAGGAAACTTAAATTCCTGTGAATGGTAACAGCTTAGTATGGTAATGGTTTAAGCTAGTAAAGATAATATTTTAAAGACTTCACTAGGCAGTTAAGTGAAGTGGTATGTAACATTAATAACAGATAAACCAGAGGGGGATGTCCCCTTTCCTGCAGCATAAACAGGGGCAATAATGGGAAACAACACATGCCCCCTCTTCTGTAACCCCAGATGGTCTGGTAAATAGCTTATGTACCTGAATCTCAAGGCTAATGCCTGGAGACTGGGAGTCGTCATTACCATGGGTGGGGGATACACCTGTTGGGTCTTAAACCCTTGTAACAACTTAATTTTTATGCCAGGGTATATTTGAAACCCCGAGAATAGTTTTGTATTTCTCTAAAGATGTTGTTAATCCTGTGCCCATGGATGGTGGAAGCATTTGAAGGTCAACATATTGTTATTTAAACAAGAATAAATGTAAAATCAATTGCTGCTCCACATCTGACATCTTGTCAACTTGACCTGTCCTCCCATGGCTCAAATACTATATGGGGCAAGAATCAGTCTCTTCCATTAACAACCATTTACTGAATTTATGGTTATAATTAAAAGTGTTAATGGCTTACTTGATTGTAACAAAAGCCAGATAGGGTAATGCATTTTGGAACTAGCACATGGGGAACCTATAGACACTGACTGGGCAAAGTAAACTGGATATACATGGGAACATAGACGGGGTTGGTACGGGGGGGACACAGTGTGGAATTATCTCTCTGCTGGACCAACTAAACCAGCGGAAGCACCCACTCCCTTGGGTCATGCTATGGCTGAGGATTTTGTAGTATTTTCACCAGGGGGAGCCACTCCACCAGGGAGTGAGAGTGTTCCATATGCTCCTGCAAACCTTAAAAGCCTGCCTCTTGAGGCAGGGATGGCTAATGCTTGTGCTAGTATGCAAACTTTTGCAATTAACCAATATGAAAGACAGACTGGATAAGTGCAGAGTGGGCACCATGTAATCCTGTCACAGTCACTATCCACATGGTGTACATAATGTAAGCTGTTGTTTATTAATATTATTTCTCCAAGCGCCCACAGGTTATTGGGCTATATTCATGCCTGTTTATCAGTATGTCCTTGTCCCCATTATTGTAATGGGTCATATTTGGGCACCCAGAGTGAGAGACAAATGGCTTCTACCATTGGGTGACTTATTAGATCACCACGGTTGCCAATACCAGGGAAAACATGAGTGGTATTGTAAACTGGACACCCACTCTTGGCCCTAAGAGGGATACTATTTACAATTAAACAGATCAATTGCAGCAGGCCATTATCAAATATGGCACAGCCTTGCCCAAGGAAAGAGACATTTCTTATCATTATATACCATTAAAAGCAGTTGCTTAAGCTGGCAGTAGATATAGACTAGGTAGCAGGGCAATATTGGTATGATATATTTGCAGGATATATCCTGGGTTACTCACAGTTAACACACTTTTAAGTGTTTTAATCCACCCTATATTATTATGTAAACTTATAGCATTGTTGATGCTTTTATGGCTGTGTCTCCATATGGCAAATGGTTTCTCATGTGGCTTTTTTTAAAGAGCCCAAATGTTTTACTACTGCAGACTCGACTTGGTCGAAGGGCGGAGTGGGGGAGCCTGCACTACCCTGCCTTGGCAATAAATGGTAATGTCTGCCTTTAACACAGTGTGGATCCCAAAAAAGCAAAACCCAGGCCTGTCTCAAGTCTGGTGCACATAAACACGCAGGCATGCTTTGGGAGGGAGAAACTGTGAGAGGAAGGAATGTTTTGAATAACAATGCAGATTAAGCATGGTACACGAGACCACGTCAAGAACACATGACAATCAACCTTGTACTGGTACTTCTGGTTCTGATACGCAAAAAATTACAGATGCAGCCATACAACTGTCAACTACGCATATAGCAGCAACATCCTGAGTGACAAGATGCACCCCAGATAGGGTATTGGGCATTTTACGTATCCTACACCATATGTAATCAATTGGTAGATATTAGAACGGCCAAGTCTCACTTTGCTATAAAATGGGCTTAGTAAGAACAATCAATGGGAGGGAATAGGCAGGATTGACCCGTTGCTCAATGTAACAAGAAGTAAATGGCAACCTGTGCATGGCGCTCCGTTGGGTGGGAAGAAAAGGAACCATGACTTCCTGCCTGGTAGTGTAGGTATCATATGGGTGAAGTGTAAGTGAACTAGGCTTTATTATTGTATTGTAGTAGATTTTCTAATAATTGCTTTTGTATTGCTTTGCACTGTATTAATTGCTTTAGAATTTATAGTATTTAAGGTTTAAATTGGATAGTATTGTCTTTAAGATTTGTAAAACTTACAACAACTGTATTAACTGCTTAAAACGTGCAATAATGAAGTGGTTAAGTATCCCTGGAGTGTCTTGGTTTCCCTGGGATCCAAAATAAATTGAACCCCAGGACAACTATTTACCCTGTTCTCTAGATCATTTATGAGAAAATCCCAGTCGCTCATTGCTACTCTTCCCTCTGCCCCCTTTCTTTTAAGTACCTGGCAATGTTTCCATGATGATCTAACTATCCTTCAATTTGTTATTCTTAATCACCTGCCCTATAACAAACTCCTTGCCCTAAAGGCAAAGCTACAAAAGAAGCTCAGGCTCTTGTCCCACTTAAAAACTAACTCTGGAGTCAGGGCATGGAGCTTTAAGCAGATTTCAAGTATAATAAAATCCAGGGCTTCACACTCGGGAGATGGCTACCCCCGAACCCGCCTAAACGGCGCCTATGGCATGCGGAAGGGGCAGGGATAGAGCTAGCCTGCCGCAGAGTTGCTTACGCTTCCCAAACGAAGGGCTGGAGGTCCTGTTGTAACTGTGGTTTGGAGCCCGGGGCCCCTTTAAATCACCGCCCCGAGCAGCGCCGCTGCCCGCAAGCCTGAGTGCGTGGCTGCTCTGTTTGCAATGCCGGGCGCCAGGGGTGAGGGAGGCGGTGACATGGCGGCGAGTCATGGCCAGCAGCGACCAGTGCCCCGGGCTGACCGGTTGGGGGCAGGTGGCCGCAGCGAGCAGGTGTGCACGCCCCCT